TTTGGACGGTCCCGAGGCCCGGCGAGGGCCCCCCGGGGGCCGAAAACAGCGAAAAACCTCCGCCCTGTTTTTTTTTTGGGGGGGGGGGGGCGCCGCGATCCTGTCTGGGGCCGGGCCAGGGCGGCCATAGGCGCCAGGACGGCCGGGCCCCCGCCCGGGATCCGGCGAGGCGGTCGGCCGACGCCGCCCGCGGATGTGGATGGTCTACGCGCACGGCAGCCGCGCGGGCGTCGAGGCCCTGCTGCGCGCCCGGGCGGACGTGGCCGTGCGGAGCGAGGAGTCGAGGGAGCGACCCTCGCCCTCCTCCTTCCGCACCTTCCGCGCGGCAGGTTCCAGGCCACGGCGGCCGCCGCCGCGGCCGCCGTTGCGGCTTCCGCCGAGGCCGCAGCAGCGGTTTCGGCGGCGGCGGCGTCCGCCGCGGCGCGGCACCTGCCGCGCGGAAGGTGCGGAAGGTGGAGGGCGAGGGGAGTCCAGACCCCCTCGAGGAAGAAAAACAAGCAGAACGGGAGGTTTTTGGCTATTTTCGGCTCCTCGGACGGGCAGTTTTGGGCAATTTTCGGCTCCTCGGGGCCCTCGCCGGGCCCCAGGACCGTCAAGAAACGATTCGGGATGAGGAGCCCGTCCCGGGGAAGTGGTCAGGAGGTCGGGGGCCCGAGTTTCGAAAAAATCAGGACGGCGTGTTCGGCCTCGGGGGGCCCTCACCAGGCGTCGGGGCCGTCAAAAAACGGCTCGGGATGACAAACCGGCCCGGGGGAAAGGGCCTGGACTTCCGGGGACGCCGCCCTGAAAAATCAGGACGTCGCATGTCTGGGCCCGGACCGGACAAAGGGCGTTCACTAAACGGCCTTAAGGGCGTTTACTGAGCAGCCCTGCCCTGTTCGATGCCTTCCTTGGGCGCGCTTGCCAAAGGCCTCGCGTGCCGGGGTGGCTCTTATCGGGGTGGATGTTCTGCCCTCCTAGGAGGGCACGACGGCGCTGGACATGGCCCGCTCCCTGCAGGGCGAGGGGCGCGCGGAGGTGGCCGCGCTCCTGCAGCGCGCGCTCCCGGAGGCCGCCGCCGGCTCGGAGGAGCTCTGAGAAGGGGCCGCGGGCCCGCGGACCCCCCCCCCCCCTCTCGGCCAGCCCGCGGGGGAGGAGGAGGAGGAGGGAGGAGGAGGAGGAGGAGGAGGAGGAGGAGGAGGAGGAGGAGGAGTATTGGGGAGGATATTGGCTGAGTGCGTGGCGACGCGAGCGCGCAGTCCCGAGCCCATCTCTACAGGAGCCCCAGGAGGACGACGACGAAGAAGATCTTTACGGATGTTTCAGTTTCGGCGACGTGCGGGTGAGCTGGCTCGGAGGTTGGTTCACGAGTTGAGTTTTCATTTCTACCGAATGATTGTTGTCAGTCCCCCCTGCCCAGCAACCATTGCATCTTTCCAGTGAGAGTGCTTCTTCCCGGGTTCGCACCCTGTTCTTTAGAAGGGAAGTTGAGGTGTCACCACACTGTGTTGTTGGGCCCCGAACTAAAACAACAACAACAACAACAACAACAACAACAACAACAACAACAACAACAACAACAACAACAACAACAACAACACCAACAACACCATCAACAACAACAGCAGCAGCAACAACAACAACGGCTCCCGCCTGATGCTTCCTTACAGTGTATTCCCAAATCGCGCTCTCGCGCGGGACTTCCTCACAAAGTATGCAGGAATCGCGCTCTCGCCTGGGGCTTCTTCGCAAGTTATTCAGACGCCGCGCCCTCGACCCTCTGGAATCGCGCTCTCGCTGTGGGCTCTCACGATTCATTTGGGAATCGCACATTTCAGCAACCCGCCTGCTCGACCTGGTCGCCTGGATACGCCTTCCCGACCCGCCCGTTAGGGTCTACCCGCCCGATCTGCCCGTCTGGTTCTGCCACGTGTTTTCTGCTCCTAGCTCCCCTCCTGCTACTCCCTCTCGTGCTCCATCCTCCTCCCCCCCCTTGTCCCTTCCTTCCATCCGTCCTCTCTTCCCCTGTCTAGGGGGCTGCACGAAATACACGTTGCAGGCAAGACGAAGAGGGCGGGCATCGAGGGTTTAGAATACGAGTGTTGAATGGCACGCGAGCAGACGAGAGCGAAGAGTCTTACAGTAGTTGTTGGTGTTGTTGGTGTGTTGTTGGTGTTGGTGTTGGTGTTTCGTTGGTGTTGGTGTTGGTGTTGGTGGTGTTGGTGTTGTTGTTGTTGTTGTTGTTGTTGTTGTTGTTGTTGTTGTTGTTGTTGTTGTTGTTGTTGTTGAACATTATTAATTCTAAAGAATAATTATTGTTGGGCCCCCTGGTGCGCGCCCCCCCCGCCGCGCCTAGGCCGCAGCCACGTTTTCATCATTTTCGTGAGGAAGCCTCAGGTAATTCGAGGTGATCAAGATCCGGTTGTTTTGTTGTAATCCGTTTTCCCTTGCAAAAAACACTATAAAATGACATTTCTTGTTCTAATATAATCAAATTTCAAGAATCCCTTGCAAAAAATAAGGTAAAGTGGACATTCGCGCGCGCAAGACGAAATCCTTCCAAAAGCTTAGTGTTCGGAAGCGATTTTAACATAAAAACATCAAAAAACCAATGGTTTTTCAACAAAAAAATGTCAAAATCTCATCCCGCGCGCTCTTGCGGATTCGTAGGAAACCCAACACTTTTTAAACATTTCTGTCAAACGGGCTTTTGCGAGCAACTTTTTCGAACTTCTGCGACAACGGTTGCGCACCTGCCAGGGCCATCATCCCTGTCAAATAATACCATGCGGGACACATTCGTTTTTTCTTCGCGCGCGCACGCCGTCGTCGTCGGCCGCGGGGCCCTGAATAGTAGCCACGGTCGTCCGCATGCCACGAAGTGAAGTGTCCGAACGTCATAGGGCGGGAAGCTGGGTGTGGGTGGTGGCGAAGAGTCGTGTGGATATTTGGTAGAGCTTGCACTGCCCCCCCACAAAATGGGGGTATTGGCTGGCGTCGCATGAAAACCCTGGCACTGGTGAGAACACTGAGCGTTCGGGTAAAGTGATTGTTGCTGTTGTTGTTGTTGTTGGTGGTGGTGGTGTTGGTGTTGGTGTTGGTGTTGGTGTTGTTGGTGTTGGTGTTGTTGTTGGTGTTGGTGTTGGTGTTGGTGTTGGTGTTGGTGTTGGTGTTGGTGTTGGTGTTGGTGTTGTTGTTTGTGTTATTTGTTTCACGATTGTGGTTGAGGTTGTGGTTGTGATTACGATTGCTGTTGTTGGTGTTGTTGCTGCTGCTGCTGCTGCTGTTGTTGTCGTCGTCGGCGTCGTCGTCATCGCCGTTCTCGTCGAGGTTCTCGTCAGGGGGCGGCGGCCGAGTGCGCGCCGCCTCTCCCCGGGCTTCGCGCGGAGGAGGGCCCCCGCCTTACGGTGGGGGCGTTGGTGAAGGAATGCGCCCAGGAGGCGGCAGACCCTGAAGGATTCCTTATCTGATGAGGGCGGCGGAGGAGGAGGAGGAGGAGGAGGAGGAGGAGGAGGAGGAGGAGGAGGGGGAGGAGGAGGAGGAGGAGGAGGAGGAGGAGGAGGAGGAGGAGGAGGAGGAGGAGGGGGAGGGGGAGGAGGAACTCCTGCTCCAGCGCGCGCCCCCACAGATGTCTCGGGCCCCTTGCCCCCGTGGCCCGCTTCTCGGCCCGAGGCCGTTGCTTGTGGACTGTCCCCCGGGGCCCGGCACGGGCCCCGAGGGGGGAGGAGGAGGAGGAGGAGGAGGAGGAGGAGGAGGAGGAGGAGGAGGAGGAGGAGGAGCAGATGGAGATGGATGACGAAGAGGAGGAGGAGGAGGAGGAGGAGGGTTTCTTGCGGAAGGCTTCTTGTGGTCGAGCCCTTGCGTCTAGCCGAGACTCTTGGGCAGGGCCCCATGGGCGGCGCGGTCGGCACCGGCGTTGGGGAGGCCGCCAGGAAGCCCAGACACCTTCGAGCCGCGGCAAATAATCACGCCAGGATGAAACCACAGTCCCGGAATCGACGTTATTTTTGTATGAATAACACGACGTCGGCGGCTACGAGCGACCCCGAGATCCTGGCGTCGCAGTGTCCTTCCTTGCACGCCGTGTATTATATGATAACCTCAATACCTTAGAGGCAGGGGTCCCTGTGAGATGGATCGAAAGTGCGTTCTGGGCAGCCGCTGGGGAGTAGCTGGGAAAGCCCCCCCTCCCCCGCCTCCCACCCGCCGCCGTTCATGTTGGGCGAGTTCGACCAACCGTCCAAGGGCTCCGAGCGGGGCTGTGATTGGCCGAGGGGGTATTTTCTGACCGTCTGAGCCCTCCCTCTCTTTCTCTATTTTTGTGTTGGTGTTCTTTCTCTCTCTCTCTCTCTCTCTATTCCTTTGGTCGGTCTCGACCTGCTCTTAGGTTTGCCCCTGCTGCTCGGCTTGACCTCTTGTTGCGATTGCGGTTGCGATGGAGGAAGGGGAAGAGGAGCTACGGGGAGGGATACCGAGGAAGAAAGAACGGATGGAAAGGAAGAGGAGCAGTATTAGCAGGAGGGCTTAAGGGAGAAGGATCTTCAATCTAGCTGAATAGCTGTTGCCCCCATCATGCGCGGGTGCGTATGAGACTGAAGACGAGGGCGGGCGATGAGGGTGAGGATGAGGTCGAGATTGATGGTGGCCATGAGAGCGAGAGGGAGTGGAGGTGAGGAGGGTTGTGTCCTCCCTGCGGGTGGGGATCAAAGCTACAAAGACGTGCGAGACTGCCTCTTTGCTTGTCCCGTGCCTCTCCTGTCCTCCCTTTTCCTGCCCCCGCCTCCGTCGTGATAGAGATTCGCTGTTTTTTTTCGCCCGCGACGTCGCACGGGGCTCTTCGTCTCTACTGTCCACGCCTCCGCATGGCACTCCACCTGTCTGGTGCGGTGCCTCTGCCCTGCGACTCCTGCCGTAGGAGGCCTCCTCCCATGAGTGAGCGCGGCTGGACCCCGCCACGCAGCGCGACGCCACGGAGCCTGCTCCCCCCCCCTCCCCGACGCCCCTGGCCGCTGCTGCTGCACAGTCGCTTTTGCCCATCCCCCCCCCCCCCGCCTCCGCGGCGGCGGCCGGCCGAGCGAGCCGCATGGGGGGCGGCGGGGACGTCTCCTCCACGCTCGCGGAGCTGCGCGGCGAGCTCCGCTGCGTGGGCAGCCGCCTCGCGCGCGTGGAGGCCCTGCAGAGGCAGTGGGGCGACCCGCTCAGCGAGTGCGGCGCCCTCCGCCGCGGGCTGCGCGCGGAGCTGCTGCAGGCATCTGCGCCCCGGGGGGGGGGAGAAACCCGGACCCCTTCGCGCTGTGAAGAAATCACGACGGAAGGGTTTTCGCTGTTTTCGGCCTCCGGGGGCGCTCGTCGGGCCTCGGGGCCGTCGAGAAACGACTCTTGATGAAAAGCCGGTCCTGGGGAAGGGGTCCAGACCTCTCGGGGTCGTCCACCCTGAAGTCGGGCATCATCCCTCCCTCCCCCCCCCCTCCCCTGCGCCTTCCTCCCCCTTCTCCTCGTGCTGGTCCTCCTCTTATCCCTTCGCTCCGCCTCCTCCTCTTCTTCCTCCTCCTGACGTGCTGACGAGCTGAAGGCACTAGGATCCGTCGGATGCCGCCTTCCCCCGCAGGGCCGGTCGGCCCTGGGGTGAAGCGACTCCTGGACCGTTCGCTCCAGGAGTCGAAAGCGGGGGATATATGGTGAAAGGTGAAAGACAATATACAATACAGTGGAGACCCATGCCAAGAAACACCGTGCTTGCCTCTAGGGTGCCCTGGGTTTCTTGTTTCGACGGTTTTGCGATGCAAAGCGTGACGCCCCCACGCCAAAAGCCACCTCCTGCAGTGACGAGGTCGTCGCGGTTGCGCACAACCTCAACCAGATCTTCTCGTTGAAGTTCTCCCAGGAGGCGCAGACGAAGAGCTTCCTAGACAGCTTCGCTGCCAGATCCTACGAGTGGACGCGCACTGGCCAGCCCACCCGCGCGCAAGGGGCTCGGGGGGACACCCCGCGGAACGCGAGGAACACGAACCGAGTGCTGGGCGAGCTCTGGAAAGGCATCCGCACGCACGCGCAGGCGCGGACCCTCTGGCGCGAGACGGACCAGCTCGGGCGCAATGGCTACAAGGGCGTCGCGCTCTACTCCGTCGCCGCGGACCTGGCCGGAGAGTGCGCCGAGACCGCCATCCCTGCGGGCATGGAGGTCATCGAGGCCGACGAGATGACCAGCACGCGCTTCGCCGAGGTCGCGATCGCAGCGGCTGCAGCTCCAGCCTGACGGCCACCTGAGCTATTCCGACATAGAGCAGGCAGCGCGGACGACTCACCCGAGCAGGCCAGTGCCGGTGCGGGCCGTCTCGTAGGCGGCCACGGGGTGCACCTCGGCGTGCCTAGCAATGCCTCGGGTTGCCTGCCCGCGACTGCCAATCAGTGTCCGAATGGGCCTGCGTGCGTCTCATCCGATGTTGCTCTCGCAGCGATGCCGCCTTTATATCTCGGTCTTGTCTCGGCCTGTCTGTGGTCGCTCTACTCCCTGTGCCCTTTTCGCTTGCTCTGGCCCCGATCCTCACTGTTGCGCCCCCATATCGGTGCAGCCTGCTGTCCAGTGTGGAAATGGTCCGCCTCTCTCCGTCAGCATGAATTGCAGCCAGAATCTCGGTTTGAAGCACGGGGTTGTGCCGGTTTTCCCTCCCCGCGCCACTCCTTGCCCGAGTCTGTCATTGGCGAGCGGTCTGATTGGTCTGAGCGAAGTTCTTCCAGGGCTCGGTATCATTATTCTTCTTGTTTTCCTTAGTATTATTCCTCTTCCTCCTCGTCTACCTCTGCGATGTCGGTTTAGATCAGGCGTTGCGCGTTCTCGGCGTTGCCCTCTACGGCTTTCGCGCTGTCTTCCTCGTCGCAGATGCCCTTCCGCCCTGCTGCCGCCGCTGCCTTCGGCATAGTTACGTGAAACGCGCGCGTAGTGCGGATCTGTCTGGGCAGACGGGGACGTCGCTCAAAGGAAGCTCTCGAAATTGCGTGGTTTGGTTTCTACATGCGGTATTGCTTGTGCTCAAGAAACGCACACTTCGGCTGGCGATCTCCGGCTTCACTTATCATCGGTCGTCGAGCTACGCGGCGCTAGCTCACTTCTGGGCCGAATGCGGGCGGGCGCGTGATCTACTACTCGGAAAAGGTCACTAGGTTCTTTTTTCTTGCATCGGCTCACTGCATCGCCCCTGGGCGCCGCCACTGCGTTGATTTTGGCGGTCCGGAATGGCGCGTCAGAGTCTTCGATCTGCGCCGCGACTCCGACCTCCGCACCCCCGATATGAAGCGCGTCATCAGCAGTATCGCGAGTCGCACGTTGGCGCCAGCTCGCTGCACTTGTTCCATTGCTGGGGACTTCAACTATCAGGCTAATGGGGGGGGCTCGTGCGGAGCTAGCTGGCCAGCAAACTTTTCGGTCGAGTTCACTGCGTCAGCATTTCTCCCGCGCCCGCCCCCAGTTCGCTGAAGTCGCTCAAGATCGGCCCACTCATCGGCGCGCCCGCGCGGCTATGGTCAGCCTGGGGAGGGGCGACAGCATATGCGCTACTGAACCCTCGGAGCTTCTTTATTGGAGGCCCTGCGGTTCCTGGCGAACTCGCGGATCACGTTCCCGTTGCGCTTGCCCTGCGCCCGTCGTCTCGCGCGCGCGATTCCCGCGCGGGCCGCGCGCCGCCCAGCGACCCCGAGCAGCTCGTGGCCGTCACTGTGGAAGTGGGGCTGCGCGCGCCATCGTCTGGCCCCGCCCGGAGGGTCGAGGATCGAGCGGGTCGAGGATTTGCCGCGCGGTGCTGCTGCGCGCGCCCTCGAGCTCGCCTCTCATCGCGCTGCCGCCGCCGCCCCGCAACGAGCGTCGTGGCCATCAGCGTTCCTGCGCGGCGTGCAGGATCATGCTCGGGCGAAGGCTGCGAGGGCCATGCGCGCATATCCCCCCGGCGAATTTGACCGATTTCAACGGCCATATGGGTTGGCCAAGCGGGCCCTCATCAACATCTCAACAGACTTTCTCGCGCGCCATTAGAGCCCCAGGTTGCAGAGCCAGAAACCCTTCGCGCGCGCCCGCAGCGCAAGGCAGACCTCAGGCAGGAGCTTCTAAAGCACCAGTCCGCGTGGGAGGGGCGGCGCCAGGCGCGTTCCATCAGGGGCCACCTTGGACCTGGAGGGGGGGGGGCGGCCGCGACAGGCCCTCGGGAGGCCGGGCAATTTCTCGCTGACCACTGGGGCCGCGTCCACTCGGGGGGTCGGTCTGATCCTGCTGCTCGGCGCCTGCTTCGTCAATCTGTCCAGCCTGTTCCTCGGCGCATTGAATGGGCCGCGTGCGAGGCCCAATTTAACCGGCCCGCGGACTGCCTCCGTGATTCCGCTCCAGGGCCCGACGGATTGCCTTGCTCCGCGCGGGGGAATGCTGGCCCCCTTGCTTGCTCCGCCCTGCATGGCCTATATCGCCACCTGAACGATTTCGGCGCCCCTGGCCCTGGATTCAACCATTCGCCGGGGGCATTCTCGGCCAAGGGCGCACTGGCACACAACGGCATCTGAACAAACGCGTCCCATGTGCTTATCCAACGCCGATCGTCAAGTTATCGCGTTAACTGCCAACCGCGGATTTAGTCGAGTTTGCCAACCAGCATGTCGCAGCGCGCAGAAGGATTTCATCGCCGGTCGGAATATGGCCGAGAACATCATCAATTCAGAATCCCAGGTGTTCGGGTGGCGGTGTCGAGAGGGAGCCGAGGACTCGGGGTTCGCCTTCTTCGATGTCCGCGCCGCCTTCCCGAGTCTGCCCCATGACTACGTACATGCATGCGGTGGATATTGCGACAAATGCACGTCTCGCAGCACGTTCGGCACCTCCTTCGATATCTTTATCATGATATGGAAGTTGAGGTCATGTGTTGTAATCGCACCGGCTGTCGCTTCCATGCCCTTCGTGACATTGCACAGGGGCGCCCCATGTCGGGATCCATCTTCGCCCTCGCGCTCGATCCCCCCCCCCCCCCCAGCATGACGCGCCATCTTCTTCTTCCGAACCTTAACCAGCTGGGAACATTTGCTGATGATAACGGTCTTGCTGCTCAGAATATGCATCGGCCCCCCGCGTTGCAAATGCGTGCTTTGCCGTTCCCCATCGTGCTGCAGGCCTGGAGCTGGCCTCCTCCAGGACCGCGTTAGTGTTTGCTGCTGATCCCTCGCGCGCCGTCCTTCTTAGACGGCTTGCTTCTTGCGCGGGCTTCAGGGCCATCGGTTCCGTGTTTCGCCGCGCGGGCGGTACCTCGGCATCTACCTTGGACCAGGAGGTGTCGAGCATAGCTGGAGTGGGCCATGTGCTAGGGTGCACTCACGTTCCTAGGACATTAAGCACCTTGGCATCGGCTTCCTCACAAGCGTGGCGCGGCAAAACCTTTTGTGCGTTTCCCAAGTCATCGTTAGTTGGCCAGTATTGTTACCCCGCGGTTGAAGTTGATCACGACGAATACAACTGCCTGCGCATTACCCTGAATTGCCCCAGGAACGCCATCACCAGCGAAACCGCGAGGCCCCTCACCCAAGTCAGCTTTGAGGTCGAGGCCAAGTCGGTTGAGGCCGTGTCCAGGGCTGCCATGCATCGGTTTGCGCTTACGACCCGTGCCTTCCAGGCCGCCAGAGTGATCTTAGGCGAATTGGCACAGTCTCCTGAATCCCTTCCTGACTTCGTGATCGGAGTTGGTTCCAGAATGGCACCACTCGGAACCTGATCAGGAACTATGACATGCTGCGCGCCCTCCCCTCCGCCCCCTTTTTTGGCCCCCCCGTCTGCAGTTCCAGACCGCACAATTTTTGCTAGTTCGTTTAAGCTTGTCTACGGAGAAGATGATCCGTCGCAGGGTCCAGCACTTATTCGGCCCTCTTCCCCCCGCCGAGCTGGACCGGCTGTGCTAGTTTTCCTGGTGGCTTGAGCAGATCGCCCCCCCCCTTCCCATTCGAGCCACCGTCCTGAAGGCTATTTGCAAAGCCTGGGTCACCTCACGGAGGTTTCCGGGGCCGATTCTAAGTTTTTTTTCGGGGGGGGCAAGCCGACGGCGACGACATCCGTCACCTCGTCATCTGTCCTATGCCGTTGCCCACTGCTCCCTGCTTCCTCTTCTCCCTCCCTCCTTTGCCTCCGCTGCTGCCGTCGCCCGCCTGCTCCTCTTCCCTCTTCTCCCGCTGTCCGACGTCGCCCGCCTGTCGCGTGCCACGTTCCTCGACCTGGCGCACGGAGCGCACAACATTCGACGCTCCTCAGGCACCTGCGACCCCGCCGCCGCCGCCCGCGCCATCCGCGCGCGGGCGCGGTTCATTGCCTCCCGCGATCGTCGCGTTCAGGTCATCCATCGAGGCAGGGAGCAGTTGTAGAAGGTTTTTCTCTCCCCCAGCCAGCTGGTGGGGTCAAAATCCTTCCGAAGGCTGGCTTGACCAGGAGGTGCAAGCTGCAGTGTCCAGTTGCATCGTTGTCTTTCGGTTTGTCTTGGCTTCTTTGCTGAGCTGTGGTACAGCTCCTTGGAGGAGATGCGGATTTCCCTCGGCTCTTCTCTTGACCCTGGACGGGCCTCGTTCGTCCCGTGCTCTTGGCCACCCATTATTTCTCTTGGGGTCGGGCGTTCCTCGTCCCCTTCCTCCTCTTCCTCCTCCTCCTCCTCCTCCTCCTCTCCTCCTCCTCCTCCTCCTCCTCCTCCTCCTCCTCCTCCTCCTCCCTCCTCCTCCTCTCCTCCTCCTCCTCCCTCCTCCTCCTCCTCCTCCTCCTCCTCCTCCTCCTCCTCCTCCTCCTCCGCCTCCTCCTCCTCCTCCTCATCCTCCTCCTCCTCCTCCTCCTCCTCCTCCTCCTCCTCCTCCTCCTCCTCCTCCTCCTCCTCCTCCTCCTCCTCCTCCTCCTCCTCCTCCTCCTCCTCCTCCTCCTCCTCCCCCTCATACCCGGACGACGACGGCGCCCAGGAGGGCCTTGCCGCGCGGGACCACCCGTACGCCGCCGCGGGCGCGACCGTGGCTCGCGGCGCCCCCGGCGGACACGTGGCCCACGTGGCCGCCACGGGCGACGCGGGCGCTGGCGGGCGGCTGCCCATGCTGACGGCGCGGGCGCCGCCGAGGAGTCGTCGTCGTCGTCGTCGGCGTCGGCGTCGGCGTCGTCGGCATGGGGGTCGGCGTCGGCGTCGGCGTAGGCGTCGTCGTCGTCGTCGGCGGCGTC